AATATACTTTGCAAGAAAAAAAAACAAAGCAAAAACACAAAATATTTACAATTATTGTTTTGACTAACTCCTCATATGTATGCAAATTCATACGAATACGAACAAACAAAAACAACACATTTACGCAATTTAATTAATCGCATTTGCACCACCCATATTTTGTCTTGTCAGTTCACACGCTCGACCGCCTTCCTCATACCACGCGATCCCGACTGCACAAATAGCGATAACGAGACAATCGAACCCAGCGAGAAATGCTCATCAATGCTGCACTTTCAACGCAATCTCGGTAAATATCGTAACTTCTTCGCCAATCTGCTGCAGGAAGAGAACGAACAATTCGCAGCCGAACTGCAGGAACTCTATAACTTAGTCAGCTCAGCGCTGGTGGAACACGACTACAATGAGATGCAGCGACAGTTTTTCTACTCCGTTTGGCTGGTGGAGCGCACCAAAGATCTGGAGGATTATTTGGATATGAAGGGTTTCCGAACAATTTAGGGAATATGTATAGAAGAATTTTAAAAATTTTGTAAAATATCGTGTATGAATTTGGTTGATTTTAATGTAAGCAGGTGTATTCCGATTGTGCTTTCTTCAATTACCTAGACACATGCCCTGACGGGATAACGAAAATGCTCTTCAAAAAGTTTGCTGCGCTCTTATATTCACATTTTTATATTTATTGTTCGCTAATTTATTATAATTAATTTTTACTTAAATAGTATTATTATGGGTGTTGCAAATATATGTTTTAACAACTATTAATAGGCTTAGTATAAATAAAATCATTTACTTTTTTGTGGTACCACTCAAGCTGATACATCGGAATAAAAATAAGGAAAATTTTAAATGGTATTTTATTAGCTACTTTTAAGGAACATTAAACTGAGATGAGATGGTAGATAGACTTATCTGACGTCACTTTAGCAAATATTACCCCTTCCATTGTTACACATCCATTTCATCCCCATGAAAGTAACCTCCGTCTTATGAATCATACTCTTGTCAACGCTTTTTTCAGTATAGTCTTCAGGACCTTCTCTGACATTTTCGAAATGGCTCCGCATTGGACTTTTCAATTTTCTGTATAGCCAGAAGACGCAAGGAGCCAAATCAGGCGAATACAGTGGTTGCGGAGCGATATCGAGTGAAGCTTTTGGCAAAAAGATCGCAAAGCATCAGTGTAGTATGGCATGGTGCACTTGAGCAAGTTTGACACCTATGCAGATTTGAATTTTGTTTGAAATACAAAAAATTCTTCCACATAGTTTGGGCAGAGCCAAATGATATTCCAACATGCCCTTCGCCGGTAGAGATTGATAATTGTCCAGAGTGCGCCTCTATTGAACGCGTTCTCAGTTCTCTTTGAATTCTCGTGTATATTTTTGATTTTATTTTTTTACAAAATCTATGAAAAGACATATTTTTTCAATTAGTTGAGAGCGAGATGTGAATTTTTCCGTCTGATAAAAAAACAAAAACATAAAGTAGTGTTAAAGTCAGTTTCCGGAATAGCCTTCAATGGGCGAATTAGCGTTTAGTGTCTTCAATTGACTCAAAACGTTTTACCTGGAGGCTGAGTGCTGAATAGCCAGAATTCAGATAGAGCTAAATTAGGCGAATATGGTGGTTGCGACACTATCTTGAAAATTTGGCAAAAAACTCACGAAGAATCAATACAGTATGCGACAATGCATTCTCATCCTGCAAAACCCAAGAGATGCCAGCCCATAATTCTGGCATCTTTTTACGATTAGTTTCGCCTTTAACACTCAAATAGTGTTCCTTATTGACAGTTTGACCGGTAAGGAAGGAGTTCGGAGTGAACCACATCGCGATAATCGGAGAAAACAGTCAACACAACCTGCATTGCGTGGGTTTTTCGGATCACCTTTGGCACGATTTTTGGCCAATTAATCGTTTCACAGACGTTACCGCAGCGCTTCTTTATTTAGTGCTTTTGGAACCAGTCGTGCTTTCACTTATCTAAGGCCCAAATTATCTTTCAAAATGGTCTCCACGGAATATTTCTATATTCGAACGATGCCAGTAAGATTCCTTTAATTTATTGACCTGTTGATCATCAGTTGATATTGATGCGTTCCGTTGAACCCCTGAAAGGGGGGTACCAAGCAAAAGCAATTTCTCTCGACAAACAGTTATCATCGAGAGATTTTCGAACGTTCCACCAGAAATTTGATTTCGCACCCAACCTCTATGTAATGTAATTTCTTTGTTGAGTTCATTTATCGTAAAAATCGCCGAAAGCACTTTATGTACTTCAGAAAGATGAGCTAATGAATATTTTAATATGTCAAACGTCACTGACAACCAATCTACAAAAACATTATTTCGACAAATGGATTTTGGCGCGAAATTTAAATTATTAAGAAGTCTTACTATTTTTTGCCCACAGTAGTATTTTATATTTTAGTATACTGAACATTATTTAGCTGAAATGGAATTTATAGTATACTGGCAATTTGAACTTGTGGAATGAGAAGTGCATCTAAATCGTACTATATGGATATACATATAAAGACCTCCCATTCGAAGAATTCTTGTTTAAGTTTCATGCAAGTCGACTTAAGCATTTTTTAGATTAACCACTAAAAGCAATAAATATGTAATTGCGTCACCTACTTGGTTGTAAATATTAACTAATACGCCAATATAGTATATGTTGTAGGAAAATGTTCGTAACATTACATTGAAATAATAATATGTGCTCGAACATGAAAAATAAGATATAATTAAATGTAAGTATGAAAAGTAATAGTGGTGTAAGTTAAAAAAAAAAAAATATTTCCGTTTTATGACTTTTCTAAATCGTTATATTTTAGTATTCATATTTAATTGAACTTTTGGTGCATATTTGGGCGAAACTTTTTACTGAATAATGTTTTGGAAACTTTTTATTTCCCTAACTAAATAGATAAATGCTTAAGTCACTTGAGGATATTCATTAACTCTGCCATCACTCAGTTTATAGACCTTTAAATCTCATTAGTCTACCAACACAAGAAAAATCATGAGATAATTTAAAAAAA